CGTCTCCTATTTAAAATCTCAGTATGTATTCACTAACAGTCATATTTCTGAAATCATGTAGGCATGAACATAAAATGATATTCAACTGAGAGAAGTATTTTTATAATATATCGATAATCCAATGCGTTGGACAAAAGAGCAACGCCCTACATAAAATGTAGAAGTTCATAGGCAATACCGAGTTAGTTTAAAGTATAAAATAGAAAATTATATAAAATAGCTTTAAAAACACAGACGATGCCTTTTTTTGTGACCAAGATTGCCATAAAAATGTATGGAAAAGATTTTTGCTTAATAATTCCCGCTTACGATTACATACCTGACACTGAAATAATTGTAAAAATGTGGAAATATATCAATTAGCAAATAAAGATGTCAACTTAATTATTTTTAAATACATGTAGTTCATATAAAAACTAAAAAGAAAATTAACATATGAAATCGAGGTTAATCATGATTCTGAAAAATAGTCAGAACACGTGATAATGCAATTTTAATTTTCAGTTTACCTAGCCGATTTCACTGTCATGCCAAACAGAAATTTTTTAAGTAAAACTAGTATTGTATCTGGTTCCTCGTACCACATGTAAAATGCACGTCACACAATTTGTCACTTTACAAAATTAAAAGACATTGATGAGAGTGGTATATGTGAAAGTTACATTAATAACGACGTGATTAACTATGTTATTGTACTAAAACGTCCGGGTTGATAAATAGTTGTTTAAATGTCAGTTTTGTTTAAACTCCGGTGTTTTGGAATATTCACAATACATATTTTTTCTTCTTTTTTTTTGGATTGTACATTTAAAATATTTGTTTTTATTTCAGAGAAATACAATGATTTCAGATCAGAATTTATCTGAGTTAGAAGAAGTTGGCTACACTGTAGTTCCAGGCGTTATTCCACCGGCAGAATGTGACAAATACATTGATGAATATAACCAGTGGGTTAAAAAAAGTTTGGCGGGGGAAAGGGCCCAACTCACTAAGGGCCTTTAATTTTGAGGATATAATAAAGGGGAGATACTTCAAATTTTTTGGGTTGGGGCCTGAAAAACGGGGCCGAAAAAAACCCCCCGGGTTTTGGAAAAAAAAAATTTCCCGGGGACCCCGGCCGGGGAGGCCACTTTTTTTTGGGATTGATTATAAAATCCTTTCTAAAAGGTCATCGCCTGTACCCCCTTTTCTTTTGGCATGTAACAGAAGACCATTTTCCTTTCAAAAGGTGGAAAAAACTTTTGTATTTGGGAAACGCTGGGAAAAGCAAAGCCCAGGGGAAAGATGGGGGTTTTTAAATTTCCCCCTGTAAAAATTTACCCGTGGGTTATTGGCCGTAAACCGGAGTTTAAAATACCACCCCCACCACCCTTTAATTCAAGAAGAATTTCCCAATAAAATTTCCCCCAGAAAAATTTAAATGATAAATTTTTAATTTTAACTTACTCAAATATTATTAAGTATCACAAAACTTTAAATTGCACCCAAAAACGAAATTTAAACATACAAAAAGTAAATTTTATTTTAATAAAGAACGATTCATAATTTTTTGGGGAATTTGGTTTTTTCCCTTTTGTTCTTCAAATTTTGGGCATTTAAAAAACGAAAATGGAATGTTTTGGGTTGAAAGCAAAAATCGTAAATTTTAACAACTTTTTTGGGAAAAAGAAAAATGCTGACCAGTTTTTGATTCGATTGCTATTGTTTGCCCCCCTGAAAATGGAAAGAAACCCCATGATGACGGGAGCTTCCCTTGGCTACATTTAGATTCCCAAAGGCCCTGTCGGAAGGTCTGCATGCATACAAGGGGGTGTTTACCTTTAAGAGGCGTTGAAGAAAGAATGGACTCTTTAAATGATGGCAAAATCAACACAGGGTTTTTAAAAAAAATTTTTTCGGAAAATTTTATAGTGGGGAAACCAAAAAAAACAAACCCCAAAACCAGTTTTTTTTTGCTGTCAAAAACCCATGTAAAATTAAATTTTTAAAAAATGGTTTTTAGAATTTAAAAAAGTACCTGTTTCCCAAGGGAAAGGGAAAAGGTGTTTTGGGACTCGCGCGTTGTTCCCTGCTAATGCCAACCAAAAAAGGCAGGGTAACCCCGGAAAGTTGGAGATAAAGTTGTTTTGTATCAAGAAATCCCGCAAAAAAGGGCATCCCCCCGCCCAAAATAAATTTTTAAAAGAGAAGGGTTACGAAAAGGGAAAAAAATGACCAAAACCCCTGGTCTTCTGAAGGTTCCGATTGAAAGGAGTCAGCAGCCCGTAAAACCCTCCCAGAAAGTTTTCCCCGATGTGGCCCAAACAGAACAGAGTCAACTCCTTTCTGGAGTGATTCCTTACGACTTTAAGGACGGGACACCAAATGGACCACCAAAGCCCGTGTCAAAATTCTTTGTAAAATATTGATATTCATTTGATTAGCTGACATAACATCAATGATGTGATCTTAAACTTAAAACGACAGAAACTGAGAGACCCACAGTTTTATTTTATAAGTAGAAAGATATATATATGTTATTGTATTTGATGTTAATTTATTCTGTTTAGGTATTGTTATTGTAAATCAATGTTCTTGTAAATTATAATTTAAATCTTACCTATTAACACCTTATAGCAAGGGTATCGTTGTAAACAATGGATTATTAAACGAAGTTTTATGTGACTATGAAAACTGTGTGAGGAAGGTGATGTGGAAAGGAGCAACATATCATGGTTGATCAATTTAGAATGTGTGTCATTATTAGGGAAGGCACCAAAAATCTCTAATACATTTGTTGTATTTTAATATATGTTTAATAATGAACATTTTCATTCTATACAGCAAATAATGTGATAAATAATTATAGATACATTTAATGCTAATGAAGTTTTGTTTTGTAATCTATAAATCTGTGCAATATATATACGACATATATTAGGTTTTTTGTGTACTTTTTTCGCATTTCTGTTGCACATACATGTATAAATGTATTTGAGAAGCCCCTGAAAAACTTATTTTCGAAATTGGTATGAACCCAACAGATGCCCTTTTCAGAAGCGACCCTGGATCGTTTTACATGCACAGTGAAGAGCACTGACACATTGGTCTTTCGGTGTTAAGGTCATATCCGGAAAAGGTGTATTCTTTTCGAAGGGAGATAATTCAGAAAGGAAAATAGTTATTTTTCCCGCACATTGCAAATCGACTCTATGTATTCTATATTCGTGAACACTTCCTTGTATAGCTTTTGAGTCGTGCTTCACTGTTTATGTACAAACAAGCATTAAAGGAGCACAATTTTGTAAACATCTCTGACCAATATGCATACTTCTTAGATAAAAAGTTGTGATGAATTCCAGTTAGTGGATGAAAATGCAATAAAGGGGAAAAACTAGATACTAGTACGTGTTGTAGAAGTCAAGAATAAAATATGTAATAAGTGTCACAAACCTAGAATATAAATATATTGGTCTTGAGAATCAAGTATTTCATGCATCACTGTGACCTTGGTCTAATGAACTTAAAATCAATGACCTCAATCTTCCAATCATAACAAACCTCCACATCAAATCCTAAGGACTGTAGGCCGAAGCTTGTTATTGGCCAGACAAGCTTTTGAGTCTACCTTTCTCTCTCTCGATTGCTATTTTTAGCCACTCACAAGATTTAAGTAACATAAAGTCAGGGCGGATACAGAACATGGTTTCCTGGGGGGCTGACATATGGGTAACATAATTCAACAGGCGAAAATTGAAGATTGGGCCAGCATCTTGGCCTGTTGTTCATGTGACAAAAAATGTAATTGATGAGTTTTATAGCTCATCATATGAGTGGCGATGCACTTTCCTTATAAATGAGTATACTAATGTTTTTGTAAATATTTAGTTGATATGGAATTAAGCAAAATATATGTAAATGGGGTGGGCATGGGAGGGGTGTCCCCTCCCATATACCGAGAAAATTTTGAAATATGAGGTTGAAAATGGTGTTATTTCCTTGACTTTCTAGTGCTGTTTATTGTACCTTTTGGATGGTTTTACAAAATAATGTATTTTATATAGGTTATTGTTTGCAGGGTCTTTCAAAAAGAATTCTCCTAATGTTAAGTAGTGAGCATTTACAAAATAACAGCACACTTACCAATGTATGCACAACTGTTGATAAAAATAATTTCAAACACTTGATCAATTTATTCATCTGAATAATAGACGATTTTCCAAAGTTACATTGTAAGTGATATTAAAATACTGCCTTCCTAATGTACCAAAAAAAATAAATAAAAATAAACACTAGTATTCAATAAGAATTTTCCCCATCAATGAATCCATTTTAGATACTAAAGAGGTCAGTACAATTTAAATTATATTTAAAAATATAACTGCCATAAAAAGTTATTAAAAGCAAATGACCAATTATGTCATCTTAATAAAAATCTTAGTCAAACTACCGGTATTGATTAAAACGCGATTCCTTTAATATTATCATTATAAAACTCGCCATCTTTTTAATTTACAAATAATAATTTTCAATTTCTTAATAATAGGACTTGGAAAAACAAAGATAGTAAAATATGGTGCACACTGTAACACATCTATTTGCCACTATCAGTGACTATTGATTTCATTAGACCTTTGGAAAGTAATAAACCAATCAATTATGCAGTCATTCAAGCATGCTGATAAAGATCTCTGCCAAGCTCCTAGGCAGGAGATTAACAACTGGATGACAGCAATTAATGTTTTGATAACGGAGTACACTACAGCCAATAAAGTTTGAAAACGACAAAAATATATTCCAGCCCGGCTGGTAAACATATCTTTGGGTCAAGCTGGGGGGGCTGCGGCCCTGAAGCCTGGGCCTGAATCCGCCACTGAAAGTCCTATCTAAATGAATTGTATATAACACTGATAACACTGCTACCTGCAGTTCCCAAAGCCATTTAAGTCTCAGTTTGTGTGTTAAGACAGAATGAAGCACAAACATTCAGCCAAAATGGACTTTTATGTCATTTATTTTGTTGTTTTATTTGTTGGTCAGAGTGCCATGGCCCCTCCTTATGCTACTCTTACAGAATGAATCTATAGCTTTTAACTTTTAACACAAACCCTAATCTAGTTGCTGAGATAGCTGGATGGACGGACAATGTACCAACTATATGCATCCCAGTAAAGAGTAACGACAGCATAATAACATGAAATTATACATAAAATTTATTGAACAAAAAAGTATATGAAAACTTAACGAAAAAAAATACTGGTTTCAGGTATATTGAGAATATAGCATGTATAAAATGGTGTTAAAATTATTCTACAAAGCTTTTGTTCATAACTTATCTTCACTTGTACATTTGGAATACTAAACTACGTGTGTATATACACTAATAAACATTAATCCACAACCTACAGATTAGTACTCAATAGTATCACAAACAGAAATAAAATTATATCTGCCAATGACAGCTGCACTTTTGTTTTGATATTTAACAATGTGTGACAAAACTAGACTAAAGCACTTTGTAAATGACTAGAATACTTCAAATTATAGGAAATAAAATAAAACTGACAACATGCTCAACTTTTCTAAGACCTTGATAGTAAAGCAATGGTAGATTTTTTTAAGCCATTCAGTGATAACCATTGCTAGAGTTGTGACTATTGGTCTCTGCAATACAATTATCTCTCAAGTTTCAATGGAATAACTTATTGGTTCACAGTAGAAAATAATGCAGTACATTGTATAAAACTTAGTGGCCTACAATCATAATCCCAAAGACATGTTTGAAGTTTCTGAAATTATGACCCTTAAAGATATACTACATGTATGCTCAAATTTGATGTTTGAAAATATTGATAACTACTATATATCCTCTTTGTAAATATAAAATAAACATGATTCAGCTTCATTCAAAGTAGATATGTTGTGTTTTAAACTCTATACACTATAAGTGGTCACAAAATGAATATATAGTGTCATTTAAAAAAATGGCAGTTTTTTTTAAAGAAAAGACCAACTTTACTTGACCTTTAATGCAGCTTAAAATACGAAATTTGAACACCTTTTTTACTTGGATTAAAAGCATTCCCTAAGGATTTCATTGATTTCAATAAATTTCTGTGATAAGAATATTTTATTCAAAGATGAGCATAGTATATCTTTAATATAGAAAAAACTGACCACCTCCAGTGTTTGATGTGGGATATACGTATTTTGCATGCAAAACATTATCATAGATATAATTCAGTCAAAATTATATATATGACCCTCTGACAGTAACCCTGAAATCATGTTTAAAATTTAAAGTTAAAGATTTATATAAATCCTTAACAAAGTATTACACAGACAAAACAGGTAGTGGGAACGAACCTTTATTTCAATTAGTTAGTCAAAGTGACATAATGCCAAATCAAGCATAAATTGCGAGTGTACCAGTTAAAAACAATGTATCCTATAGTTATGCCATACATGTTCTTGTTTTCAATTTCCTAATCTACTTCACATGAATAATAAATAACCCATATGACCCATTGAAATTTCTATAAATATCCTTTGCAATTTATCAGAAACATTCAGTTGATAAAAAGAGTGAGGCAGTCTATATTATACTTTAGGCAGTTTGAAACACAATAATATTAATCAACTTTTTGAAATAAATAGCTGACTCTGATCAACTTGACAGTGGAAAATGAGAATGTGTATTTGGTTAACAGGTTCTTCAACTGAAATATTCAAGAATTAACTTACGACTTTGAAAAATTTCATATTAGAAAATTACAACCCTCTCATAGAGAATGCCCAAGTTAAAGCCAGCTTTATGAGTACATCACATGTGATATCAAAAAATTAACACTTTAACAAATTAGATATATAATCACTGTCAATTATGTTTTCTCTTTATGTTTTTTCATGTGATAATTCCTGCTACTGGCCTGTGTAAAACTTTTTCCACACAAATCACATCTGAAGCTCTTCTCACCTGAAATAATATATACAAAAATAGAAAAAGTAGCCAAATATAGCATTCAATTTGAAAATGATGATTTTGAGGACATAGACGAAAAAAGCTTTTTTTCTCTAAAATTTAAAACATGAACTATACATATTGTCTAAAATATATCATAGCAGATGAATGAGAACTTTTATTCTAAACACTGGTTTAGCAGTTTAAATTAGTAGTCTTTCACTTATGATGGTACATCAATCCATCACTCTCCTACATTTAATCCATCACATTAGCAATCCCTTTCTGGAGATTTTGTTTGTGTTTTTCTTAGATAATAAGTTACACCAGCACTTTAAAAGTCATGTTGCTACTTTTAACTTTTCAGCTTTACTGGTGGAGAAAGTCTTCAGGTGTCTGTTCATGCATTATTTCTGGTACAAGTTGGCACCTAAGTAGAAACTAGGTCATATTGTATGTAAATGTGACATTGGCTTAAATACCAACTAATATAAAAGGTTTTTGTAGTGAAATGAGAAATAAGATAACCATCCTTCATTGCTTATCAAAAATAAATCCTTCTACACTTACTACATATTTTCAGAGGCAGGGGAAAAATTTAACATAAAGGATGAAAAAAAGATCAACAAATGTAAAAAATTCTCACTTTTCGATAAAAATCCCCACTGTTTTTCTAATCCTTAGAAGAGACACTGATCTTCACAAGTAAAATTCACAAACAAAAGGTTACTCTGTTATCATATTATATAATTTATTTTTATATGATAAGCCTTGTACAAAATACATGCAAAGACATTGTGTGGCATGAAATCATTCTACTGTTTATAATGTCTTGATACATCTTTACAAGGCTAGAACAAGATCTCATATATTTATCGAGTCACCAGAACACATGAAATCTCATGTATTTATCTATTTATCATTATTTATTGACAAAAGAATATCTATATTTTTATGTGTGTATTCTTTACCTGTATGTATAACTTTATGCTTCTTAAGACTTGACAGCTCTGCAAATGTTTTTGTACAATCTTTTACATCACAAGCATATGGCCGTTCTCCTGAAACAGAACAGTAATGTACACATCTTTTTAGCAAGTTTTTTTTTCTCATCATATTTCGTGAAAAACAAGCAATGTCTCTTTACATGTACAATGCAAATAGATTACTTGATAAATATATATGAACTTTTTTTAATTTCTCAAATGTTAAATGCTCATACTTATGTACATAAGTTTTAAACAATAATTGGTATTTTATTTTTTTAAATACAAGCCTACAGATATATCATAGACAGAAAAAATGTACACATGCCATTTATCTATAAAGAATTTCACTGAAACTCCAGAATATTTTACTGACAACAAATTTTAAAAACAAAAGTTGGCATAAAACAGCATACAATTTCTTTTAAAGGCCCATTACATAATTCCCCAGAAATACATTTATTTTTATTTCTATAAAGCTTTCTATTTCTGATGTTCTGTTAAAGTTTCTAAATGGCTACTTATTGGCCATTTTCCTGAACCATCTATTGGCCATTTCGCCTTTTGGAAAATAGTACGATTACAGTGATTTAGTATTTTGTATGGAAGTCAAATTACTACTTTGTTTACATTTTTTCTATTTTTATAACAAATATTTCAATGTCTATCCACACTTTTTCCATGGGATAAGCAATTACATTGTATCATGCTCAAAAACCATTATTTTAAATGTTATAAAACTCATATTTGCCCTTTCTAAAGAAGGAAAAATTTATTCATTTCGGAGGCATAATGTGCCTTTAAAAATCATATGATACTTTATAGTGGTTACTATGCTACATGTACAAGTAAACATTTCAAAAATACCTGAATGAGTTCTGGAATGATTTTTGAGGTTACCAGCTGTAGTAAAACTTTTATTACAGACACTACAGGTAAATGGTTTGATCTCCTTGTGTGTCATCACATGCCTATCTAAATGTTGAGCTTTTGAAAACACTTTACCACATTCTGAACACTGGTGATTCTTCTGTCCTCTGTTGAGACAAAACAAATACATAATTGACAAATACATTCCTCCTTAGTTTAGATATATCACATCAAAATGTCCCCATCAACAAGCTCTGCACATCAGCAGTTAAAGTTAAGCAATCTTACTATCCTGTAGCATTGATTACAGACCTAAACAACCAATATTGAGCCAGGTTAGCCTGCATATCAATGCAGTCTAATCAGACTCTTTTTTTTGACAGCTGAATTTTAGAATTTGATATCAAAATTCCCTCACATTAACAATGGGCAGTTCTAAACTGAAAGTAGGACTAGTTAATCATGTAAGTGTAATGGTTATACTTTACTGTTCTTACATGCAAAAACATCATTATACATATATTTTCTGAAACTTTATAACTTCAAAATTCTCAATAGTTTAATATATCATATAATATATATATTGCATGTGTACAATTGAAGTATCATAGTTATGTATGTACTACATAACTTGTTTTGATTCAAGCAAAAAATCCATGGCAAAATATTTTATAAATTTATCAAAACTGATATAATGAATATATATAGAGGATATTGAACCAGTGTAAGTTCAATACTGACTTTACTGAACAAGTTGATTCAAATTATATAATGCAAGCCTCTGCATTGTCTATGGTAAAACTGCATAAATATGTACGTACTTACACTTGCCTATGGTAAAATTGAATAAACATAATTTTATACATACCCTTTTCTATGGTAAAATTGCACAACAATATATGGTACTTACCTTTGCTTGTCTGTGGTAAAATTTGGTTAATGTAAACTAACCAAATATATATAATTTTGTCTGTGCTAATATTGGATAACTGTTTACTAGTACTTACTCATGTGTTTGTTTGTGGTAACTAAGATGACTTCTGTAAGTGAATGTTCTCACACAATCAGGGGCAGGACAGCTGTAATGTTGATGATTGGTAGAGTGTTGCTCTAGTTTATCTACATTACTGAACTGTTTCATACACATCACACACACATACAGTATAGGCTTCTCTGAAAAAAAGATAAAAGAACATTTTATTAAAAAAAGTTTCCTAGAAAATTCAAAATTTTAAAATATCAACATTTTTCATAAATCATAACAATGAAGAGTAATTTCTATTAAGCTTTGATTTTGTTTCAAACAACATTTAGAAGTCACAAACTGTCAAGAGAATTTGAAAATATGACAAAAGTTTTAAATTTTACACGACTACAAGTGCAGAAATTTGTCATAAAAAAAAGAATGTTTTTCATGAATAATGATAGAATCACAAAACCAACACACCATGCCATTTGATAATGTTAGAAATGTAAAATTTTCTCAAATCCAATAAAGAGAGTTTTGTACAAAAAAGTATTACATGTACATGTATTTAAGAAAAAACAACAACAAAGGGCCATAATATGGCTTTAACTGAGTGAGTAACTTCCCAACCTCTCTAAACCTGGTTAAAATTCAAAGACTTGCAAAACTAGTGCATATTACAATATTCAAAATTTACCAACCTTTTTCATTTTCTTTACATATATTTCTATTCCCATGTATATATGTATCACTTCTAGTATTTGTTTCAATTTGTGAAGTATTGTTGTAATGAATATTCCTATTTTCATCCTGAGACTGACTTCCATTCAGTGTCATAGATGCTGTATTACACTCTACATGTCTTTTCTTTGGGGGCAGCATATAATCTATCAAGTCATGCTTCCTTTTTAAATCTGTACTCTGTTGTGTTTGCTCGGCCAATTTGTTTGAAAAGGACTCTGAATCTCCTAGTGTATTCCCTAAAAGATGGTCTTGAGGACATTTTTTTATTCCAATATATCCAGGTCTACTGATTCTGGTATTGAGTTCTTCATTTGTAGATAAACTATTCATAACACTATCTTTTTGTAATGAACAAGGTGTATCTAAAATGTTTTGAACTGCTGACCGTGTCTCCAATTCTTGATCAGAAATATTTGTTGATTTAAAACATGGCTCACTGACTTGTTTAAAAACTTCAGTTTTTTCACTTTCACTGCTATCTTTTGTTTCACATGACATTGACTTTACTTTAGTTAAACTTAAGTCTATATTTTCTTTAGGAATTTTAACATTTAAAAGGGTAGTATAATTAGCATCATCATTATAAACAATGCTTGAGGTATGGTTACTGATTTCACAACCCTGTCTTGTTTTGTCTGAAAAGGTATCCAATTCACTACATGGAATACTATTTATGTCATGAGATACATTTCCTAGAATATTACCACCCAAATCGTGTGTTTCATCTACATTACTAGAGGATTCAGGATTTTTCTGGTTATTTGAGTAAGTGCACTTGTCAAAATCAAAGTCAGTGATATTATATTCCTGCATGATAGCTTCTTGTGTTTGAGAGATGAGATTTGCAGTTGCGAGGGCATGGATTTCATTAAGTCTTGGTGGAGACAGCTGTAGAGGATTGTACAAGTTTGGTCCGTTAGAACTCTCATCATCACTGGAACCTAGGTTTTGAAGAAGAATTGCCAGTTGGTTGGTTAAGTGGCTTCCAGATGATTCTCCATTACCAAGACTTGGGAAGAGTTCATCTAACATTGACATGTCTGAAAACAAAAAAAACTGTGCCATAAACTGAACAAGGAAATGAAACAAGTAAGCAAATTAGAAACCAACTAAATCAATGGCTGTCACAGGAGAGAGCACATGATTATTCTCCATGCATGATATTTGTACAGCCATGAATGAATTTCACAAAGAGATACATTGTACAATTAAATGAAACAAGAAATAATGTTAAATAGTAATTATTCAAAGCGGGTGAAAGTTTCACTGTACATGGATATTAATTATTACATGTACCTACATGCTTTTTTAATTTAATACATAAAAAGAGAGACTCATAACTCAGATATCAGAGTACATGTATGTAAAATTAAACATAATAGGAAGGAAAACAAGAAAAAACCAACTAACTTATGAATATGTAAACATGTATTTAGCCCTTAACCTGCTGAAAGTCTGTCACCAGTATAGAGCCCAGCTAACATATCCATGCAGTCTGACCAGGCTCTATACTGTTGACTTACCAACTTCAAAATTTCATCTCGATATACACAAAATTGATAATAGATAATTGATAATAACAAGAGGGCCATGAAGTCGCTCATCTGTATATAGGCCCCTGGAGCGGGGCCAGTTTAAACCCCAGGGCTTTTATTTGAACAAACTTGGTAGACACCCATTAGAAGATGTTTCATGCTAAACATCTAAGGCCTAGCTCGTTGGGTTTTTTAAAAGAAGATTTTTCAAGTTATTATGACACACCTAGGGCAGGGCCAGTTTTGACTCCAGGGCTTTTATTTGAACAATCTTTGTAGACACTTACTAGAAAATGTTTCATGCTTAATATCTAAACTCTAGCTATTCAGGTTTTTTCAAAGAAGATTTTTATGTTTTTGCTATTCACATATATAGAAAATTAATGTCCCCGGGACTGGGCCAATTTTGACCTCAGGGCTTTTATTTGAACAAACTTGGTAGACATTCACTAGAAGATGCTTCGTGCTTAATATCTAAACTCTAGCTATTTGAGTTTTTTCAAAGAAGATTTTTTAAGTTTTTGTTATACACATATAAGGAAAATGAATGACCCCCCGGGCGGGGCCAATTTTGACCCCAGGGCTCATATTTGAACAAACTTGGTAGACATCCATTAGAACATGTTTCATGCTAAATATCTTAGCTCTAGCTCTTTCGGTTCTTTCAAAGAAGATTTTTTAAGTTTTTACTATATGCATATAGGGAAAATCAATGACCCCCTGGGGCGGGGCCAATTTTGACCCCAGGGCTTTTATTTGAACAAACTTGGTAGACACCCATTAGAAGATGTTTCATGCTAAATATTTAAGCTCTAGCTCTTTGGGTTCTGTAAAAGAAGATTTTTTAAGTTTTTACTATATGCATATAGGGAAAATCAATGACCCCCTGGGGCGGGGCCAATTTTGAACCCAGGGCTTTTATTTGAACAAACTTGGTAGACACTCACTAGAAGATGTTTCATGCTAAATATCTTAGCTCTAGCTCTTTGGGTTCTTTAAAAGAAGATTTTTTAAGTTTTTACTATATGCATATAGGGAAAATCAATGACCCCCTGGGGCAGGGCCAATTTTGACCCCAGGGCTATTATTTGAACAAACTTGGTAGACACTCATTAGAAGATGTTTCATGCCAAATATCTAAGCTCTAGCTCTTTGGGTTCTTTAAAAGATGATATTTAAAGTTTTTTTCTTTCGGTTGCCATGGCAACCAGAGTTCTGCATGGAATTAAATTCAATAATTTTTAAAGGTGACCACCAAAGGAACATTCCTGTGAAGTTTGGATGGAAATTGGCTCAACAATTTTCACATAAACCCTGGTGACCACCAAAATGTAAACTTGATTCCATGTGAACATGTTGAAAGTGGATGAAATTGGCTCAGTGGGAACATCAACTTAAATGAGGAGCATACCAGATGTCACTTTTTATACTTTTATTATATTAATATTTTTCTATTTTCGTTGCAAATTAAATTCAATATAGCAGACCACTGTCTCTAAAAATCTCACAAAAAATGTGAATTTGCAAGATAATTAATCGCTAAAGATATGACGTTAAAGCTTCTTCTCCATTTAAATATAGCTTTGTTGGTAATTAGTTACACTTACAGTAATTGTAATCACCTGTAATTAATTACTCAAATACACATAATCAGATGTACTGTATTCATTAACTGATCTGAATTTGAATACATGTTACTTAATTTATTCAATAACCAAGTTTGAAGGCTGTCACCAGCAACAACACCTGGGGTGAGATAGGTACCCACCCACAGATTTTTCTCATTTAATTGGGAAGAGGCCTTAGCCAGTTGATTTTGGGAAAAATTATCACTAAAATTGCTAATTTGGGACTTAAAAAAGCAGGTTTAAGTTCAGATTTTGGGAAAACTGCATGATTTTAAAGAAAATTTCAAATGGGAAGAGACCATTTATCGGAGTCTGTTATATAGGTAGGAAAATCACTACGACAGCCACCCTAGGGGTTTCAGTTTACATAGACTTTTATAGTTAAATGTCTTAAAAAATCTTCTTCTCTTCAAGTGCATTGCCCACAGCTTAGCATCATCTTAATTATGTTTGTGTGTTTGTACATACATTGTATTCAAATTTGTTACAAGTTTCTGTTTTGTATAAATGTATATCAACCTCTTGTGCTTATTTTATTGTTTCTTAAACTCCTAACCATGTCATATATACAAAATTTGGCCTATTTTCTTAGCCGTGTGTCAATGATCTTTATGATGAAGTGAATTATAATTATTTATGCAGAACCTCTGACTCTGAGAGGAGCTGCAGCCCTACGAGGGCTGAAGCACTCTTAGATAACAAGTTACATGTATGTAATTTTTTGTGTATAATTCAACTGAAATCACATTAGAATCAATCAATATAAAATTGTCTAAATATAAAAAATTGAGAAAAATCGAAATCCTTAGATAACATGGATTTTTGAAAATCTTGGACTGGTTCTATATTTTAGCTATAATTAGATGCCAGGATGCTTTTGAGAAAAAAAATAATAAAAGGGTCTTCACAATTAAGACTATTGCTGGAAACTGGGTTACTTTCATCCAATTTTTTTATTATCCGAAAAACTGTCAGTTCATCAAAATAAAATTCACTGGTGATAAAGGGATAAGCAAACAAATACGACAAACTTATACAATATGTCAAAATAAACCCTCGTATAAATACACATTTATGAACATATCTAAAGAACGTACTAGCATTAAAATAAAACGATTTTGCAAATTTATGAAATATTCCAATTGTAATAAACGCTTTATTTTCATCTAAGTGATCCAGATCAATAACATCGCTATATTCCGTCCCGAAATTTTACCGTCATTTTATTATTTTGCAGACGATATATTTAGTTTCAAGTAAAATAAATAATCGTCTGTAAACAATATGATAAACAGACCCTTAAAGATATACTATGCTCATCTTTGGGTAAAATTATTTTATCTTAGAAATGTATTGAAATCCATGTTTCGTTTCGTTCAAAGCCTTGATAATGGCCATGAAATTCTTACTGAATATGTTTAATTTGAATAAAATAATGAATAGACTATGTATGGGAATCTGCATTCCCTATTAAAAGTCAAGTGAAGTTGGTCTTTTCTTAAAAAAACTGCCAGTTTTTTAATGACACTATATATTTATATTGTGACCACCTATTGTGTGTCGAGTTCAAAACATAACATATCTACTTTAAATGAAGTCGAAACATGTTCATTTTATACATACAAAGAGACTGTGTAGCAATTATTAATATTTTTAAAAATCAAATTTGAGCATAGTATATCTTTAAATTCACAAAGACCCATGTTCCTCAACTTGATCTGCACTCTACATATATATCCTGTTTTTTATAGTTCAGAATGCTCAGCCAGTCATATATACATGTACTTTTGTTTTGTTTAATTACAGTCTGTTAGTTAAGTTATCGTTTGTATAGAAGGGACGGGATATTCATCGTTGTAGAACTTTGTTTGGTGTACGTATAACCTAAAACTAATATTATGAAATAAAGTACTTTTCACGAATAATGTAAGTGTCATCATGCATGGCTCTAGCCTACATCATTTATGTTTGAAATAACTTAATTTTATCAACGTTTAACCATGTAGCGAATCTGTAAGAACGCTGAACGTTACATTACAGCGTTGTTAAAATAACTGACCTCATTTGAAATCATCCGTAGCTCAGTAGGATTGCAATTGTTGGCTAAAATATACATGTAGGTTTAAAGATACCATTTGATCGCGGGATCTTCTTGTTGTCAGTTCAATAATAAACCTAATGAAATGGACGTACTAATAGCCCTCGGTATCGGTACGACTTTTAAAGTAACTGCTTTGTCCTGGATAGCTTATAAAAGGCAAAAAGTATATGTTGGTAAAGTGTCGCGAATCAACGTGTTTCCTTTAAAATCTGCAAGGGAATTACAAAACATAACAAATGTCACTCTTACCAAACATGGATTGATGACTAAAGGATTAAGTGACAGGTAAGATTCAATTTACATTATATATAACAACAACATAATCTTAGCAATTAATTGGTCTGGGTAATACAAAGATACAGTAATTGACACACACACACACACACATTTAAATATAGACGACACGCGTGTATTTGCATCTTTAGCATTTATTATTATAAAAGATAAATTCAAAATTACCAATTAACACAAGCTATCATCCTTAGCAAAATAGTATTAAGCTACGTAAAACATTTTACAAATACATGTTGCATCGGATTCTAGCCTCTTCACGCTAACTGTGTCGTTTATGACGCAATTTAAAAATAAATATGGTATATATATATACATGTTTACAATAATGTTGCATGCACAAAATGCATGTAATTTCCAATTAACACCGAGTTTTTATCATATGACTTTGTTTGTTATCATGCATACTTGTGTTTTGCTTACAGATGAACACTACACTAAATGAAATTAATTATAAATGTTAAAAGATATAATCTGGCTTGCTGAACTTCAATTTAATTACAATTAAACTAGCCAGCACAGCTGATCACTTATGATATATATGAGAGACCAACCCTGACTTGTATACTCATATATGTTATTGTAAAATATACTGGTGCAAATGTCTTCCACTTCAGACACTGGGTTGTTACTAGAAATGGACAAAGACAAAACATTGGTTTTCTTCCGACCCTAACACTTATTCGAACTAGTGTCGAGGGAACAAATCTCCGTCTTGATGCGCCAAACGTGGAACCTCTTATGTTACCAATACATCCGGATATCAACCAGGAAAATTTAGTCACTATTTTGTAAGTATTTGTGTAGATATTGTCAAACAATATTAACCTGGCACTTCATTAACTTTCGTAAAGATCATTTGAATAAACACTGACCAGCATCTATCGAATATATCATATATTTGCTAACTTCACTCGTCAGTGTGCTCTGGTGTATTGGTATCGATGTCGGACTACCGATCTGAAGGTCTCTGGTTTGATTCCTTACCAACACCACTGAATGTTGCGTTTTTTTAATTTACTTGCAAGAATAAATTTGAAACAGTTTTACTACACCTGGTTTTAGACTTCCCTTTAAGTGGTGTTTTTATACACAATTATATCTTTTTTTACATTATCTTTCAACGGTTCTCTTTGTCACATTATGCAATTGTATAAGCTTTAGCGAATACACGCAATAAAGGCAGTTATTAAAAGTACTACATAGATAGTACACACAAAAGAGGACTTCAATAGTTTTAAGAGAATGGCAATTTTAAAATTAAGATAAAAAACCCGCTGAAATAGGATTGGCACCTACCAGGTTAAGTCTATATTCTTCAAGTGAAACCCCTTTACCAACTGCGCTGAGAGGGTTTTTTAATCTACACCATTTTAACAATACAAGTAGTTTGTAACGTTTACGGTATATACCGACTATACATGGTCAAATGCAAGTGTGTCAGGTCAATGTTGTTGGGCAATACTGTACACGTATATGATAAACGAATTAAACATAAACTATTTTGATAGTTTATCTACCATAATACTGCATGAAGTTATGTATATTGTGTACTTTCACTAAGCTTGTGCTTATGACACACACACATCATATAAAACACATTCAAGTGCTTTTTCAGCTGTTATAAAGTCGCTGATTAAAAAACAAACACACAAACATGATCATTTCTAGTGGGGATGTGTAATTGTTACATTATGTAATATTAATATAATTCTTGCATATGAGACAAGATTATTGACTGTTTACACCGGTGCTAGAAAAAACCTGTCTTACACCCCATGTAAACAATTACTCTCGAGCTCACCAAGCTCACCAAGTCCATGGACCGGCGTAAACAACATGACCTCGCTGTACTGGACTTCAACAAAGCCTTCGACCGCGTCCCACACAGTCGCTTGCTTGTTAAGCTCCATCATTATGGCATCAGAAACCATACCCTGAGGTGGATTGAGGCATTTCTCACAGGCCGCACTCAGCGCGTAGTCGTTGATGGAGCAACGTCCGACCCAGCACCCGTTATCAGCGGAGTCCCCCAGAGAAGCGTGCTCGGGCCCATACTCTTCCTAGTCTTCATCAACGACCTGCCACTTCATGTCACGTCCAAGGCCAGGCTGGTGTGTTATACCGGGAAATCGCCACTGAAGAGGACTGCCACATTTTGCAGGATGACCGATGAAGCTGGCATTGTGGGAGAAACGCTGGGGCATGAGTTTCCACCCAGAGAAATGCAGCATAATCAGGGTCCACAGGAAGAGGAACGCCATCATATACCCGTACTCCTTGAAGGGCCACACACTTGAGATAGACTCGATAACCAAGTACCTCGGAGTCCATATGTCTGGAAACCTCTCCTGGAATCAACATGTTGACAAGATCGTAAAGAAGGGCAACAGTACACTCGGCTTCCTTCGACGCAACCTGCGCATCCACAATGAACAGGTCAAGAGCACAGCCTACATGTCACTCGTGCGACCAGGCCTTGAATATTGCTCCACCGTCTGGAACCCTTATACCAAGGACCTTACACGCAAGCTCGAGATGGTCCAGAGGAGAGCTGCAAGATATGTGACGAACCGTTATCACAACACAAGCAGCGTATCCTCAATGATCCAACACTTGGAGTGGGAGACATTAGAGTCACGACGGACCAAAGCCCAGCTGACCATGATGTTCAAGATCACCAATGACCTTGTGGACATACCAGTCATAGATTATCTCACCCCTGCCCCGAGCCGCACTAGAAGTGACCACTCCAAGAAGTTCCATCTACCATCAACATCTACATCGTACTACAAGAACTCCTTCTTCCCTCGCACAGCCACAATATGGAACAGCTTACCTGCCTCCGTTGCAGAGGCCCCTGACTTGGTATCCTTCAAGCAGGGGCTATCAGCCCTCACATTCTAAGTCGCCTTATGGGCCCAGCTACAAGTACCCACTAGTGATATCCAAGGCTGTGCCGGCAGCGGCCACCGTAACCGGAGAGGTTTGGGTTGAAGAGGCGAAATATAGCTGGCCATACTTTTTGTCTATATCTCTACCTTTGTACTATCCAACCTCTTCTAACTTTCTATCATTTCTTGTTTATTTCTTTTTCTTGACCTAGCACCACCCGTCGCGTCATAATCAAGTGTGATTGCGCCGACGTACAATGTAGATGTAGATGTAGCTAGATATTCCTGTCTGTACCAGAAACTCATAGATGGACAGCAACATTCACTATTGTATGTTTTTATTTTAAAAACATAAGGAGTGGTCCATTAGTTACTTCATATTTACTTCATAGTAGATCTATGCAAAATATAAAAATCCAAATTAATTTGTAGAAAATCATGAACATCCGAGCGGCTATTTTAAAGCCGAAACATTGATTAAAATTGTTATTATTTACTCGTAAAAACAGTCAAACTCCTTCGCTTTAACCATTACTTTATTGATGCAATGGAATATTGACAGTATTTAATTTAATTGCAACAGGAAATGTTCTCCACTAAAATAGTCTTACGTTTCTCACGTCTGACATTTTTCACGACCCTCCCGTGAGATTCGTAAGATCTTACATTTTTCACGGGTCTGACGAATCTCACGCTACACCGGTGTAAGTTCCTTATAATCTTATACTGAACCTCAAAGGTATCGCTTTCAGAGTTAAAGAACAGAAACAGTCTACTTTAGATTGTGGTGATAAGGCTGCGGCATGGATTTCAAAAGTTGTTGGGAAGGAAAATTTGAGATTACATCACTCAGCACCGTCATTAGAAAAACGTCTGTCTCATCAGGTGTTGAAAGATTGGCCCACACAAATTAGGAAACACGACGAGGTAAGTGGTGATATGTCTTTAAAAATACATATTAGAAACTATACAAACGTGACAATATCTTGAAAAAGGTAAACCCAATTTAACATCTGAATATCTAATTACTGTACATAATGCTGTTGAAAATTCAACAAATGCATCACATTATATATGCACCACACTGCCTCAATAAAGACGACGTTATTGGAACAAGTGGAAAGTATTTGTCACCAGTTTTATTGGTACAAGATTGTGCACAATTAGCAATGTCTTTGACAACATGTAAATGAAAATGAAAAGACTATCCTTCAAGATAGATCAAAGAGCACGCTGCATTTTCCTACAAGATTCTAAAGTTGTGTTAGTTTATTAATAAAGAGGATTTCGTAAGTGTGTTTATTGCTATTATAATTATACATTCATTCTGTTGCAGGTTGCTTTCCAAGATTTTGTACCATGTATGATAATGTGTCAATCTTCAATGGACGTGTTGAACCAGCGTTTGGATAAACCAGTTTCTTCATTACAGTTCCGACCAAATATAATGATAGAAGGAAGCGAGCCGTTTGATGAAGTAGCTTTCACTTACATATATATGACGATTATTTAACGCTTGAATTTCCCCTTTTTTAAAATGCGATGAGTTGCTTATAATCCTTTATAAAAGTTGAATACAATAACTTATCATTTTCAAATGTAAAAAAGAAGCGATAGTACAATATTTTCAATTAGTGTTGAATAATTGTATTGCAGAAATACCGATATCACAAATTAGTGAAATAACTGATTTTTGCACTCATATTTGTAATTGAGCTGACTGGAACAATTTAGTTGGTTTAATTAGTATTTGATTATTGTTTTCAAAGCTGTTTTTATTAAGACGAGGTATTGTGATTTAGGTAAACTGGGAGACTATCTACATAGGTGACAAAGCATCAACAAAATTTGTTGACAACTGTACAAGGTACTTATTAAAGAGACGTCAATTTTTTTATTCATATGAAATATTGCATTTCTTTGTATCATATATAAAGGTGAAATGTTTAACCATTAATTAGAACATAGATAAAATTTCTGTTGGAGACAAATGATTTTAAATTTTTGTAAAATAATGCAACAAGATACACGCTTTTTTTCTATAGAAATGATTTATATTCGTTGTAGTCGAAGCAGCAAATTTTCTACGATTCGTTTAAGGAACGTATAACAATGCAGTTTTGTAAATACTGCCAAGTCAAGAAGTCATCTCTCCGTTTCTTTCGTTTTGCAGATTTTGGTGTAAATGTGAAACGTGTATAACGTTGTATGATTTCTCAGATGTTTTGCTAATTTATTCATGAACGCTTTAGCATATATACGAGCCCTGTCTCGACAAAACCAACATAGTGCGTTTGCGACCAGCCTAGATCCAGACCAGTCTGCGCATCCGCGCAGTCTGATCAGGGTCCATGCTGCTCGCTTTCAGTTCCTCTGCTTGTAATAGAGTTGGTTAGCGAACAGCATGGATCCTTATCAGACTACGCGGATGCGCAGGCTGGTCTGGATCCATGCTTGTCGCAAATCAACTATGTTGGTTTTGTCGTGACGCGGCTCGTATGTGTTCGAATAAACTTGCGTTGACATCTTTTCAAATATACTTATTTTGCTTACAGTGAGTGTCATAAAGACATTATATCTTTGTAAATGGTTGCGTTGCTAATAAATCATAACAGTTATATATTATTTACATTTACAGGTGTGCTATCGTCACCGTAAATCCTGAAACTGGGACAAGGAGCAAGGACAACCAACCGTTAGAGGAACTGAAAAAGTAAAACGACATTCCCTTTAGTCTCTTTTAATATATCGTATCGATTTATTCAGGGAAAAGACATAAACACATACAATATTATCACATATGTCAACTTGCATATATATAAAAACACACACATAATTGCAACAAAAATAATTATAAGATTAATTAATGGAGTATGTTCTCTGTTACCCTAGGATTGCCCATTAAGCTAAAAGCTTATTTCCAATGGGGTCCATTTTCTGTAAAATTATCACACTAACTTACATAATAATAAATTGATTATGTATACATGTATTACAATTTAAACCTATCATGACATTTTAATGTTTAAAAACGATTACTTTTCACCTTTTTTGTGAATGTAACAATAAAGTATTTTCAATATTCAACAGATACTATTATATTTTATGGATTTCATCAGATGATTGTTTTATTTTGTTTCTTTTAACTATTAGTCATTATTAAGTCCAAACATCTCTGTTGAAATGAAGAACTATTCCTGTTACAGATTCCGTTGCATGGAACCATATGGTCCGTTCAAGCCAGTGATGGGCCTACATACTGCTGTAGAGACGGAAGGTGATATAAAGATAGGAGATCCTGTGTATGTAGTCAAGAAATAAAACCACGAACAAGTTGCCTTTATATGGATAGATGCCTTCATTTTATTTGATCACATAACATCTTCTCAAGATATAGACATTTTTTCATATTATGCAATATTGACTTTAATAAAGAAGAGATGCCATTTATCTTGTTATTCTTTCATAACGAAAATAACAAATTCGTTGTATATATGTATTCTAGGCTTTTTGACAGCCCATCTGCCAGTGAGGTAGCTTTCACTGTTGAGTATTGATCCGGCCATCTCACCAGTCATGCCCTTAAAGGGTTAGTTTTAAAGCACATAGTGGCGATAATATACCTTCAAATTACACCGATCATTATAGCCACAGATATGAATTTTGAGCCAAAATTAGGTCTTTATAGTTTATACAGCGGCGATGATAGCCTCAGTGTACCGTAACCGGAGACAATATGAAAAGAAAATAGCCCTTAAAAGGGCTGCTGATGCCAAAGGGCCTACCTTCCCAGCATTCACTCTCTGTGTTAGGGGCTCACGCACCCTAGCATACTTTCTACGTCGTCCAAGCCTACTTTGTAAGGCCCCCATCACTTGGAATTAGTTGGGACATCGGCAGCTAGCCGCTGGAGACAAGTTTCAGTTATCTTTTCCGCCGTCGAATCTTTTGCCGAAGCCCTGTGCTTTCTCTGCGAAGTGCATGCCTCGAGTGGAAGACAGAAGTAACGAATTCAAACATTTAATTTTCCTTTTTATACTTCGCCCCCAACGTTTAAAGAGGGATATCTGAGAATTACTTTCCTGTTACTCTTGTCCCGGTACGTTTCTAGTGCTTTTCGTTTAATGTCGAAAAGGCACAGCTTCTAAAAAATGAGGGTCAGTACACTAAGAAAACGTCATGAAATTGACAGTACTTTGAATACCATTCAGAGCTTAATTATAGCATATACATGAAACAAAAAATGCAATGGAGTGCCTCAAACTAGTCCATCATGCCAAGTTTTACAAATCTGTAATGCACTTTGTTAAAGTCATGCTCCTTTTTTAGTTTAGAAATTTCCTGAAATTTACATTTGCTTTAATATTTATTTTAAAGTTTAATAATATTTAATGTTAAAATTATACTTACAATATAGAATTCCACAATTTTATAAACATAGTCAAGTGGACATACAAAAGGGTTGGGCCAAAAGTTCTAACAGCATTACCTGAGGTAAGTAAAATTAAGTTGATATTTCTAAAACTAGTGCAGATATTTTGTCACAACAATTTTAACGAATAATGAAGCAGAAACGTTGTTTGACAATGTAAAATCCCAACGTTGCTCATAGCTCTTTTCTTCTTGAATATATATTAAATACTATAATGTATTATTACTAATGTATGTCACATTCTCGGATTTTGAACTCTGTTTTTTCTCAATGTCCTTGAGGTTTTCATATTTCCAGTTTTTATACAAGCATCAGCAGTTGTCAAGTGCTGTGTGGCAGCCTTAAACATGCCTGTTTTTCAATCTTGGTTTTGTTTTATTTTTTTATCCGTCGGGATCACTGATTCCAGAACGAAAAGTGTTGAAGTTGACTACTTTTTATAAAGTCAGTGCATGGGTTGTTACAGATGTTACACTCTGGAAAGGCTTGGCATTGTTTGTGATAAATCTATTCAATAAAACCCAAATTTATTATTTCCATTGGTCTCAAGGGACCTCCCCTTTCAAGAATGACATTGTATTTTAACTTCGTACGTTTTGGAAATACACAGTGACATAGAACATAAAATATTAACATTACAAAAACCATTTATGACATTATCTGAACCATTTATGACATTACCTGAAACATTTAAGACATTACTTGAATAATTTATGACATTACATGAACCATTTATGACATTACCTGAACCATTTATAGTAAATCTATAATGGTATAACAAACTTACATAGATGTTCAAGTTCTTTGGATACTTTGACACACGGATGTAATCAGATAGATTAATCTGAGCAGTTTATTGCTTGTCCATTCAACAGGAAACCAGGAAGTGGACTGAGGGAATACTGGGACGTCCCATCTCACCAAGGTCAAACACCACTATATTTCGGTTAGGTCAGTGACCACCACACTCCTCCCCGTCCTATTTGAAAAGGCTGGCTGCCAGATAAGACCTTTCTAGTATCTAATCCAGCACTCAATACGAGCCTATTGAATGATTTCCTGGATCCTTACCAGTACTGGTACTGTACCCTGCTCTAGTACACGTACCAAATAGGTGATTATCATTAACCAATCACATGAGCAGCTCAGCTATGACTTGATCAGCTGAGCAGCCCCACTAGGACTTACTCAATTCCTTGAGCAGCCGACTATGCAGAATTCTACGACTCACTCAATCACCTAAGCAGCCCACTATGCAGAATTCTACGACTCACTCAATCACCTGAGCAGCCCACTGTAGAATTTATAAGAATGAATTGTCACCAGTAGCACCCTGAGAAGAATTAACCAACATTAGTCTCTAACAATCACCAACAAACATAGAAACCTCCTTCAGGTCTAATTGATTAACTGAAGACTTATATCTTACTACTGTCAAAACACTCTAACCCACTCATGCACTGGTTCAAACTCAGATGCAAGGATATGCAGCCTATATTTAGAGACTACCGCAACACCTATCACATCTACCAGCTTAACAGCATGAGCATCCTGAGGATTATACCCCAATCCTCAATATAAGACCTTATCTGGACAACAAACAATCCAGACTCAGATTTATATTCAATGACCAACAAGAAGTAACCTTCACCCACAAGCTGTGATACCACATTACAATAACCACACTGAATCATAAATCTCCAGTCTTATTTTCTTACCCCCCAAAAAGACAACACATTTCCTTTGATAACTGTTATAACTCTGACATTATTTCAAGAGCTAAACCTAACAGATAACATCATGACAATTACTACTTCAGTTCTGCAAGATGCTCATTCTATTTCTGCCATAAGAAACCCCCAACCACGCAATCCAATATTGTACTAACATTTGTAATGATCACTATTAATAGACGCCTGCATCTAAATAGATCCCATACAAACTGTCATAAATTGCTTGTCGGCCTAACAAGCAACCTACCAAATGACATTATAGGTCATCTAGCTTAGAAGAGACGGGAACTGCGTACTTGGTGACCCCCTACATAGCAGTGAACTTAACTGACCAGATGCAACTTGCTTGTCTATATGGGAGGGGAGCTAACCTTCTCTTAATGGTGACTATATTGTTACCTAACATCTCAGTTCTGGGACTCATATTTCTGTAAATAACACCAGAATGGACTCTAGGGCCTTTTGAAACATAATCATCAATAAGCTCGCAACTCATTATTACTAAGATGATTCCTAGATAATGAGCTTACACTCCTGGGATTCGTTCCCAAGGTTCCTTATTACCAAGACTGATTGTTACACACTCAATGACAGATGCGATTTTAACCTGAAACCCGTAGATTTTGGTTCCTTCCCTGGCAGGCTTCCCAAGACCCTTAGTGACCCAAGTGATTTTTACTTACCAATAGCACCACATCTACATCGTCAATAAAGGATCCCCCAATTCATGGGCCATCATATACTAATTGACACCTACCACAAGGCAATTTACCCCAAATCGATTTCCCACATGGTACCAGACATTACATCATTTTACCATGATTACGATTTGTTCTGTGCCCCAAATCGATTTCCCACATGGTACTAGACATTACATCATTTTACCATGATTACGATTTGATCTGTGCTGCAGCAACTTACACCGGGATAGATCCTTCAACCATCCCGCCAAAGTACCTTGTGGCTCCCAAAAACAATAAACCACCTTATATGAGTGATCAGTCTATGGTATGCAATCAGCTAAACTACCAGATAAAGTAAATTACCCCATGGTAGTTCTTCTCTGATTAACCACCAGATAAATTTAATTACCCCCTGGCGGTTCCTCTCTGCAGCTACCCTCACACCCACCATCACTAACCGGCTAGAGGCGGAGCTTTCCCTGTTGCTACTCTTACCCCACCAGTACTAACTGGTAAGAGGCAGGCTTTTAGTCCCTAAGACTTATTCCAACTACAAGGCATTTCCCTCAAGTTGATTTCCTACATGGCACCCTGGATCCCAACACCATGATTACAACCTGATTTTCCCCAGATCGATATCCTACATTTTATTCTATCCAATTCCCTTCCCCCCTTGGGGATTAGAAGAACCACACATTAGAATAAACATGATTTCGACCCAACCTTGTAGTCTTAAAACACCTAAAAGCATTTTATAAACTTTTAGGGCTACCCTTTGACCTTAGCTTAGTCAACTGTGAAAGCCTTCTCAAACTTATCTTCAAGTTTCTCAATAGCCTCCATCACAGTTTCCCAAGTCACAGAAGAGTTATCTTCATCAGAATGAACTTCATAACTATCAGTACTGACTGAAGAAACCCTCTTTCCTTCACACCTTTCACTGCGTTTGCTCCTACCAAAAATGGCCTCATGGCTCTGTTGGTACTTACGGACCACTAATATGGCTTGTTCGACCGTGGATGGATCATGCATGTAAACATGGAACCCAGCTTGTTGGTCTAATAAACCATGGCAAAACCTACTTATAACCTGACTTGTTATAAATTTGGCACACACCCCCTGAAAGGCTTTATCGGCTAAGGCACATAACCTGTCTGCAAAATCATCAAGAGAGTCGCCTGGGTTTTGAAAAGCTTGATAAAATTGCCCTTGAGCTGCCTATGGTGAAATTTGGTCACCAAACCGAGCCTCCAGTTTATCGTATAAAGAAGCATACGATTGCACTTTTTTTTATGTAAAATTACATAATAATCTAAAGCTTTGCCCTCTAACGTCCAGCACAACGCATACAGTTTATCCTCATTTGACCACTGGCACATCTCAGCATATCTGGAAAACTTAAAAATGAAAGCTTCCCAACTGCCATTGCCATCAAATGTTAAATTCGTGGGCATTTTATCTAACGATAGTCTTGACCTGGCTGTTACAGGATAAACTAGTTCCCATCCCCCATGAGATAATGGCTCAAATTCATTATCCCCCAATGAGGTGGTCCCCTGTTCTTTCCATAGAGACCGCACAGACCTAAAATCAGCTATCCCCACCCATCACAGGTCTACCTTCTCTAGGCACAAATAGACTTTTGCAGCTTACTCTGACGCGGACAGTGGACATTTGATAACGAACAAATGTTGCGGGGAATTTCTCAAAATGGTTGTAAACTGAGAGGAGTCAAAATTCAGAACATTTAACTTTTTCATCTATACATGGGCGTATTAAAGACAAAAACACGTTATTATTTATATGACATTTTATTGTCATAATTTATCTAAGATGGTGCATTTATATATTTTTTTTCATCATCGGAGCTGACTCCGAGTTCTCTTAATAATTTGGGAACTTTCTTTGTGATGAACTTGTTGTATGTCAGTTGGTTTTTCTCTGATCAGTGCTGCAATTGGCCTTTTTCAACCCCTGCCCCTGCCATTGTTGTTCTCTCCGGCATGTTGATCCACGGTTGCCGATCTTGGAGCAATTTCGGGTTGTTGGTCAATCGCTACAAAGGGAAAAGTTATTTTAACGAAACATTTTCATTGATTCATTTTTACAGCAGTCACTATTTTATAGTCTAATATTGTATTCTTATAAAACTGTATATTAGGATATTTTATCGCATTTATTTTTCAGGAGTTGTATTATTTCTATAGCCGAAACATAATTTTTAACATTTATTTCCATTTTAATGAATATAAATCATTTTCATTATTTCACTTGCCCTGGGTTTGTAAAATTCATTCTTTAAAATACACGGTATATATATAAATATGTGTGTGCGTGTGCGTGTGTGCGTGTGTGTTTATAGCTGTAGTTAGCATATAGTAAATAAATATTATTACCTTACCGTACCGCACTTTACCTTACCTTACATAACCTTACTGTATTGTACAGTACCATACAGATAATACAGGAGTTATTATTGTTCGTGTTGAGAGTGGCTTCCCAAATATTAGTCCAGGAGATGAACTTGATCCCCCCCCCCCAAAAAAAGGTAAACATACTAGGAGATACGATATATCCTAACAGGTATCCCAACATTACAGATACGTCTGCCCGACTGTCGCGAAAACGAGGCCAAGAGCTTCGAAATGTAGAAAATATAATAGGTATATAAAATCATACAGGGTGACTCTGGAACATGCAATTTCCCAACTTAAGTCTGACCGTCCTATAAGCTCGGTGCGGAGACATTCAACAAAATTGTTAATTAAGTAACACTATAATACGTGCCGGACTTGTTTGCAGATGGTAAGAAATTGGTTTGAACTATTAACATAAATTTATAAACTGGATTGTTTATTATCATTGACTTACGCTTTAACATTATATGTTATTTTGGTTTTGGAGTGATATATGTGGATATATTACCTGTTAAGGTTTTATATCACCCGAGCCGTTAGGCGAGGGTGATATTTTATCTTAACAGGTAATATATCCACATATATCACTCCAAAACCAAAATAATAATTTTATTACCCTTCCCCTGCCGAGTTTAGACGATTTTTTAAATAATCATTGCTGTTTCAAATGAAACGTCGAAATAAGATTCCCTTTAGGATACCTCTTCGTCACAACATGACGACACATAAATACATGACGTATTTTTCCCGTACCTTACAAAAGTAAACAAGAGAAAAGGAGTAGTCTATTGAACGCACTTTTTTGTAATTAATATCAAGCTTTCACAAGGTCATATTTGTTTTCGATACTGATGGTTATATGTATCATAACTCTACTTTGGTAAATATTTATCATTTGACAGTTAAAAAGTGCTTTTAAATCGGAATTTACACCACGTAAAATCGAACCGTACGCGCATCATCTCCGCGCATGTTGTTTACAACGTTGGGTACCAAACGGGGAAATTTAGTGTGTATATTACCCGTCTGGCTCGGTTATATAAATTTCTTTCGGGTGATCAATATCCAATCAAAAAGGCGGAAAAAATCTGGAAGGGTAATAATAAATTATATACAGTATTATTATTTTGAGAAAGCCCCTGAAAATTATCAGTAGTCCATCGTCCGCTGTCCTCATCGGAGTAAGCTGCAAAAGTCTAATACTGCAGTGCTTTTCACCCCAGCTGACCCTCTAGCCACATCAGGCTTTACTGCCCCAGGCTTTGGTTCCGAAAAGTCTGAAAATGACTGATCCAAGGACCTAAATGACTTATCCAAGGACCCTTCCCCTTTAGAAGCTTCAGTATGATGCTCTAAAGCCTCCTCTTTCCTAGGGGATTCTTCCAAAGCCTCATTTGGTGAAAAATCTATCATATCTAATTCCTCACCCGTAAACTTTTTCCAACATATTGCAGACAATATGTCGGCTGTGATATCACCGCCAGCCCCCCTTATGGATAGGAGAATAGCAGCAACCCTCTTACTAACCCCCGGAATTTTAACCAACTCGTCCTCAGAAGCAAAATTAATCGCAACCTTAGATTTATTGGTGTGGGGGCCTTTTGTGTCTGACCTATCTATCGCCATTGCCATATTTATAATTACTTATTACAATATTTTTATTTCAAATAATTAAAAATATCAGGCAATTACAGGTCGTGCAAAGTACCACTTACCACCGTTACTGTAAACCAATTTCCGAAATAAAATTTATTTTATTCCACACACCTACACAATACTATAATATTGTGCCTTACAGTAACTATTATAAGCAATATTGAAAGAATATCGCTCTTTGAATTATGCAATATAAAAAAATATCACACTTCTTTCTGCCTGAAAATAAGCAATATTGTGAAAATATCACTCTTAAAAATTCCTCTGCAATTTTCTTTCAAAAATTGCTAGGTTTTGGAACAACAATAGAAGAGAAAAAAAAATGATACCGGTATCAAATATCCTAATTAGAAACCACAATGGTAAAAAAACCTAAGTGGGTCCGAAGACTGGTAGCGTCTAAAAATACAGGCCGCAGCTAGAATTGAATCACCGCTGCCACCATTATAGTAAATCTATGGTCTACCAAGGTCAAACACCACTATATTTCGGTTAGGTCAGTGACCACCACATGACATTACCTAAACCATTTAACCCATTACTTCATGAGCATTTTGTGAAAAATGGCTGTTTTCATTGAAAAGTCTCTCGTTACAAGTTCAAATTGCTATAATACTATAAAAACTGCTTCAACACTAATCAAACTTGGCACAAATGTTGACTGGACCATTGCCCTTGCAACAACATGCTCAGACTTAAATTTTCTGTTACCATGGCAACGAGGGGACATCTCAAAATTGCCAAAAATCACTATTTTGCGATGATTTTTTCCATCAAAATTGATTTCAAAGTGCTGCAACTTCTCAATGGATTGAGATAGAGTCAAATGCTTTTCAGCGTTGGTTACACGTTACCTTATGATCAATCTTGGGTCATTTATAGCCTCTCACAAGTCCAAAATTTTCTTGGCGATGAGAGGGAGTCCGCCCCCCTTCAAACCCCCCCCCCCCAAACAGAAGGGGGCACATCCTTCTGGCCCCTGATGTATCTATTGGTTGGGGCGCCGCGCCGAAAAAGAGGTCACTTTTTTAACAACATTTCTCAAACAAAAACAAGTGTTGGGGGCCTAAATAAGGCATTTTTTCACCATTTGAGACAACATAAAGGGGGGGGGGGAGGCGTTAAAAGGCGTGTATATAACGTAATGTGTTAAGACATTACTTGAATAATTTATGACATTACATGAACCATTTATGACATTACTTGAACCATTTATGACATTATCTGAACAATTTATGAAATAATCTGAACCATTTATGACATTACTTGAACCATTTATGACATTACCTGAACCATTTATGACATTACTTTAACCATTGATTTTTTGACGACCGTCATATGCAATTTCCGTGTAATATGGCTACATTGTGTTCCTAAGTCTAAATCAAAGCACAGAAGGCGCTGAATTTGTTTGGGTCTCAGAATGTAAGAAAGGTGAAGGTTGTGATATTATTAACCAGTTAGTGTTTGTTTTGTGCCACCAATGCTGTTTCCAGTGTTATAACTGTAGTAAATTGGTAATAAGACTAATTGCAACACTGGTATTCAATTCAATGTTTATTTGGCTTTAAAAAAAAAACCTTATTAATTTCGATATATTTTCACGTTAAACCTGTTGTTTAACACTGATGTAAATAATCATGGAGCTTAATATAAGCATGTATATCTATAAAGAATAACACAATATTAGAAATCTTCGACCAATCGGGAACTATTTTTACCCGAGAAGGCTTTAACATTTATGCGTCTGTCATTTGACAATCTTTACGCAGTGATCTCCCCTTAATTTTTCGGCGTTAGTGTACATATAAAGGGAAGTAACCGCTTCGAGGAGTTTGGACTACTTTCGGTTTCGCTACCGTTTTTTGTTTGGTCCGACGACCCAAACAAATAAAAACCTCTACAGTCATACAATGCGTCATTTTGGGCAAATGATTAATAACATATTGAATAACATTATGCTCCTTCACGGGTATATAGTCAGCGAACAGTAGAAAGTAAAAATAAGTTTATATTTTGCCAAATGTCCTTACAATTAACATGGCTTAATCAAATTTCTGTAAAACTCCATCGGAATTTATAAAAAGAGTGGGGTAGAATTATATTTCATCCTTAACATTTTACAGTATCAACTGTTTGTCAATCGCCATTATATCAGTCAATCGTTTGAGTCAATTCAGCTTAAAATGAGCATAATGTCTGCTATTGTTTACGTTGGAAGTCTTTCAGTAAATATGTGTTGCTTTATTTATGCATTTAAAATGAGAACACTTAGTGTTAAGGGAGATTATATGCTACATTAATGCGCAGCATATCCAAAAACAAAGAATTTTGTGTTAATCAGACTGTTTTAATGACCGTAGTTTCGACAATCACTTCAAATACATGATACGTGGAATTTATGTGTTGTTCATGGTTTCTTTAATCTTAAACCAATTAAGTAACTTTAAAGAGTTTATAAGGTATCAAACAGCCAAGTATTTAAGTAAAGTAAATTAATAAAGCAACTAAAGGCCAACTTGTAATAGTGACAATAAGACTTGCAATCCCGCACCTCGTTGACCAAATTAATCTTCTCTTATATTCGTTATCATCTTCAGCTTCCTTTGCCTGAAAAATATCATAGTATATGTATTAAAAAATCTTTCTTCATTTGTTTAAAGACAAGTATATTTGATGTAACAAAAAGTGAGAATTAGCTTTGCGTGTCTGTGATATGTAACAATGTAGAAGTATTGATAATTATTGCTGCTTTTACAGTTACTTAGTTAAGTAAAAAAAAAAACAATCTGAGTTTGGTATTAGATACATGTAATATATAAAAATAAACAATTATCTGCTGATGACATTATTTCATATAAACTAAATACAATAAAGAAAAATAGAATCCCTAAAGAACGTCAAAAGCGGCAAAAAGCCGTAGTTTATAACTATGACAAAGCATGGCTGTATAGAATCGTTACAAAATGAACTTCAGTTTTTATAAAATATAAATAAAGTAAAAGATTAAAATAATCATCATGATCGTAAATAAAATTCACTACTACATTTATTAGTGTTGATAATCCTTTAAACGATTGGTACTATGGCAACAATGTTAAAGTGTTTTCCCATCCCAAACTGTACCATGGAATATAGCTTCTTTCAGTATGACATCCGAAAGATATTCTTTATAGGAATATAGGATTTTTGAAAAATGATGAAGAATGGCCAAAAGAATTGCAGAAAATAGGTTGAAAGGAAAAAAAATTCTCAGAGCGCATTTATTTCTAATCGGCCTGTTGTTTAATGTATCATTTTTCCTTTGATTTATACAAACGCTTTTAAGCATTTGTTTGCCAAAATGACAAATTGTTATACGCAGGACGTCGTCTGCTTACTGCCTTGCATACTATTAATAGGATTTCAATATTAGCACGGATGTTCCTGACTCAGTACTGGTGGCAAAGGTTAATCATTTCCGGTTCAAACTGGTTCAGAGTTTACAAACACGAGGCTTAGTCGTACATACTATTGGATCGGCATAATTATATACATACCTGACATGCGAATGATAGAGCACAGCATCCAAGAAGAAAGCAGCCGCAACATATGACAACCCAGGCCAGTATCTCTGCCTGTTCTCTTGTCAAATGAAATCGTTTCTCTTCATGTTTGTCTTTGTTCAATTTTGGCTGTGTATCAACCTTTAATGTTTGGATATAATTACATTTATAGCATCAACTACTTTTAAATGTCTATAATTATGTCGAAAATATTTTCTTATTGTCTATTACGTATCAAAAGTAGTATTTATCATATTTGCTTATCTCGTCTTTAATCTTTGTCCTACCTTTGCGTCCATATAAAATGCCTCACTTTGAAAATTTGAGCCAAATATTTATGTTAGTTATATGTTAATAAAGAAAAAATCGGAAATACTACTATGTACTCATGACTAGAATTTAACAAGATACCATCTAAACAAAAAAACCACTACCTATATTGTACTTTTGTTGCATGAAAATCGTCTTCAATCATAATTAAAAATCATAAGGTAAATAAAAAAAAACATTGAAATTAAAATCCTTACTTCTTTGTCTTGTGTTTCTTCGCTCGCAACGTCCCTATATGCCTCTTTTTCATTCGCAATTCCTTCGTGTACGTGTACTCCTGTTTCACTCGTCATTTCTTTGAGAATGTCTTTTTCTTCTTGTACTAGAATTAAAACATATACTTTCTTTAAACTTCTTTAAGTATTCAAATCGAGACTAGACATTCTTGAGGTGAGCAAAATATTATGAATTATCTAGCCGACCAAACGTAGGCCTTAACTGCAACTGTTGTGAAAATAAAATTCATGTATATGTACAACATGTAAGCACTTAAAATAAGAAAACAAAATACCTTGAAAGTGTTTTTGGGAAAGCATATGAATTAAGGAAGGTACATGAAAAAAATTTATGATGCTTATATTGATAAATGTTCTCAGTATACAAACACATATGGGCTATCTAATGTTTACAACAAGTCGTGTATGTGATATATAAATCCACCGATAGAAAATCCTTAAGCATGGTATTATTATATACTAAAAAGAAGAAAAAAAATTTAATTATCAAACCAAATAATACACAAGAATTGATTTTCTATGTTTGGACATATCCTTCAATTTATTTAATAACTGATTTGATTGAACCTTTTGAAGATATTTTATCTGACATTTTATGTCTAAAATCTGCATTTAGAAGAACAAAGTAAGCCAACTGAATTAATTAAAAATATATTTAACAACTTTTCCATTTTAAGCAAACGAAAGTAATTGTTACAGGAATTCAATATTGGAAATATTTAATTGATTTATTTAATTCTTAAATTTATATGTAACAAAGTATAACTAACCTGACATTTCTTTAATGTTTTACGCCTATTAAGTAAAATATTTTAGCTATGTAATATGTAACTTTATATGTCAATCACTGATTTCCCCCAGTTTCCTGTTTATTTGAAAGTCCGTCTGATATCATGCACGTTTATTCGTTAATATATTGTTTATTTACTATATTGTCGAACATGCAAACCTTTTCATTTTATATGAAACGATATTTTACATCTAAGTCTTACATAGTAAAGTTTAAAGATCCTGTAACACAATTTTGTTATGGTTTTAGATCATAAATATGATGTTCAAATGAAGATTTATCAATATTGTATGTTCCAAAAAACATTATTTATAAAGATATGACCGAATTCAACATTTAATGTAAATAAAGGGAGGTAATATAAAAATATTTTCTATAAAGTTTAGAAATGAATGCATATATTTTAATGATTACATATGATATGCAACAAATATTTGCAGTACATATTTTACATATTCTTCGATGTTTGAAAATTGTTAAAAATTTGCATAATTATGTACATTATATATAATTTCACCTAGTGTGGTATACCACTTTGATCAAAACATACAGGATCTTTAATCTGGTTCCTTTTTTATTTGTAAGAATGGAAATTGAAATACTTGACCGTTTTTTAAAAGTATATAGTCTTGTTAGAGATATTTGTGGCATCTTACACCGTACAGAGATCACTGAAAATATAGCATCTCATGATAGCTCCTCTCTATCATTCTAATATAGTGACACTATACTCTTTTTTTCATTGTCATTTTCATTGAGCTTAAGTGACTAGACTATATATTCCAAAAGATTGATTGCAATAATGGCGATAAACCAACAGTTGATACTGGAAATTGTTTAGGATGAATATAAATATCCCTAAAATACAAATAAAGTACCCCCCTATTTGTTTATAAAAACTTAACGTTAAGTAACTGGTATAGGGTATGTAAGTCTCGTCATGTGACTTGCGAGATTTCACGATATTTTGCACTTCCGGGTACAAACAAATATCAACAACATTGCTAATCTATATTGGGTAATACTTGTATGCCGGTAAGAAAGTAAAACTTACACGGAAAAGCAATGGATATGTGGAAATTGGCAGAGTCTTTTTATTTTATAACGAAATGCAAATGGTTTCATCTTGTGAATAAGTATCAATGAAAGACACTTCGTATAATCTTCAGGTGGGTGTGTCATTTCGAATTCAGTTTATCGCAATAAATGCTGTAATATTTTCATTTTTCTATGTAAATCTAATAAATTTGTTATTTGATACAAATTATTCGCATCTGACTTCAGACTGGTGAATTTGACTTTATCAATTTTCTATAGCGCAACCTGATTATCTCTCAGAAATATAATGTTTAGAAATTTCGGACAGCACATATTTCGGATAGAACGTTTCAATATGATTATCAGCGTGTTTTAGTTGAATATATTTTTCTTATCACTGAAAATTTTATTTTTATTATTATTATCTTTATAAAGCACAAACAGTCACGCTGTATAACCAATTAAATTGTCATAAAATTTGATGAAATATTTTGCTCCTGTAGACATTTTGACTGAGGACAGTGGTGAGATGAAAGACGTCAGTATCCGATGTAAACACACATGCATGACATGATGTAGCTGCTGTAAAATCGTTTTGGTAAGAAATATACTTAAAGCTACTTAAACTACATTAATGAAAAACATATATTCGTGTATAACATAATGTTCATGTTTTTGTAAATAATTACAAATGTACAGTGTAGCTAAATAAACAATCAGTATGGCATATGTAGTTTATTCATGTTGAATACTGATTAAAGTATTTTTTCTCAAGTAAGTTGGTCATTTTTTAGTTAAATCATGTTCAGAAAATGGTTACGAAAACTTAGTCACTATCACATTTTTTAACATCATTTGTCAAAGCAACTCTACAATGTATATAAACTAGGACACCAGGAAAGGTTTCTTCCTTTTCAACAATATTTTCTATTCATGACAATATTTTTCTTGAAAATGATTGAAACTATTAGCTGACTAATTATTATTACTTTCAACTCATGATAAATTTTCTTTATATGCAGGATTGTGATTTCATGGTTGGGTCTTGAGTACTTGGCATGGCTCTTGATTTATTTTGGAGTGTTCACCATCAGATTAGTAACCAAATAGTGATACCACTAGACATATGTTGAAAGGAAATGTCCATACACAGCCTTGGAGTACATAGTAGTAGAGACATGGCAGTCCATTACAGATTTTTGACTGAATTAAATCTTCTTAGAGCTCCATGGCTCGTGTAAACTGTCTGACTGAATGTTTGTATTCTAATAAAAACTACGGTTGAAGACACTTCAAAGACATATGTCAGTGTAAAAATGTTAAACAAAATATCTGTCTTTCAAACTCTTTGTTAGAAATAAATAACCTGTCATAACTTTATATTTACTGAATTATATTCAAAGATAATTTATCTTCTGCAAATGGCTGTCCAAAACAGTTTCAACCAGGCATCATTCAGTTTCAAAACAGTTAAGATAAATCTGTAAATATCAAAGAAAACTTGTTTCTGAGGCAAGATGTGTAAAATTCCTTCCACAAAAAGACTTTCACTGCTCTTAGAAAAGCCATGGTTTGCATTGTACATGGCAGGTAGTAAGTAATACCAGAGTAAACAATATTAATGCAATTCATCTGTGTTGAGTATTCAGTTGCAAAACACTAGCTTGCTAGCCCTTGAAAGCCCAAGTCTGTCTCTTAATCACAAAATTGGAGAAGACATGCAATTATCCATTCCTTGAAAGATTTTAGTGTCAGAGGGACAGTTATTACATACCATATACTTCTTTGTGTTTCAAATTACCTGTAATATAATGTAACCTGTTGACATTTGACCAAAAGTGAATTATCTATACAAAACATGCAAAACTTAGGGTTTGCACTTGATACAATACAATTACATCACTGATACATTAATATACCCAAATTGGGAATGTTTCAAAATTGTCAATGTTTCAAAAAAAATCAATGCTTTTAACTTCTGTCCATGTACATAAAAGTAAATGTAGTCATTGAAGAGCTATAAAGAACTATTCATCAATATTATTTAGATAGTGTCTGTTTCGATTTCAGGCCAGACAAATTCAAATGACATGCATAGTATTTACTGCAATCTAACCATTGCTGTTAGAGAACTTAAGTAGACACTTATTTTGCAGATGAACCCTTATGATCAAGAACAGCAAATAGAAGAAACAAAAAACAGTTTATAAGTTTGATAAACTTTTATTTTTACACAAATTATAGTCCACTGCTTTGCAAATATATCACACTGATTTTCCAGAGGAAAAAACTTCACTCAGGAAAGCACTTGAAATTATTATTAGTTATTTAGACAATTTGACTTTACACTGTGAATGTCTACTGATACAAGAATAGGCATATTTCCTTTTACAAATGTAAAGACTTTGAAAATTTACATGAACAAATTATCATGGAGTTATAAATCATATTCTAATTGAAAAATGGTCAGCTTGGTATCAAAGCTTTGAATGCAAATGTGTAAGCTTATCAATGATTACACTAAGAATATTAGAAGTAGATGATATATAATATTTTTGCTATTTTGTTTTCTTTTTCATCTTTACATCATAGTCATTTAATGTGATTTCATAAAAATCTTTATCTCTGGTGTGTTTTCTACTTTGGTATACTTAAAACTGCAATGAAATGTGGATATTTCACTCTGTTTCTATCATTGTGATATTAACAAGTTAACTAGATTATGGAATCATAGTGTCAAACACCATAAAATCATACTCTTTTACATTAAGATTCTTGTGCTAGATGTCATTCACTTTCTTCAGAAAAGTACATTTGACTATTCTCAGTGGCTTATATTAAACTAATATTTCATTGTAACTATGTGTTCTCTGATATTATTCTCAAATTAAGGAACTGGAAGATGGTAGTTGCAATAAAGTTCTTCCTGGACAAATTTTCCTTCATCTTTTCCTTGTTATCTGCAGAAAGAAAAATCAATAAATATGTTGTTATAAGTGTAAGACCTGAAAATATTTCACTGAATAAAACACAAGAAATGATATTTATATTACTTTTAATAAGCTTGCCATGATTGACAGAAAATTTCATATTTGAAGTAAATAAACATTAAAGATAAACAACAACACATAATATATAACAGTCAAAAATATTTTTATTTTTCCAATCTCAACTAAAAAGTAATCAATTATTTTACATGTATTTACCTTTGATGTATAGATATTTCAGGATCATAGGCAGTGCAAACAGTTGATTAATGGTCCATAGTGAACATACTTGTCATATACCTCCCTGTCTACACATCTGAAATAGTTTATTCAAATATTATATTTTTTTAATTCAATCATAATTTGCTAGGTACCATATTCACATGTATATATAATTGAAAAAGTTTTAGTGTCTTGATACTTAATTCTCCATAGTTAGAAATGGATATATACTATTAAACTTTGCATACATCTATGATCTATCCTTTCTGATTTAATTATCAAAACTCTTACTTGGGACCTGGGGTTTATTATACCAATATAAGTATTGAAATTTTGATAAAAATGGAAGGGAAGATTTATCAGAATTACTGTGCAATGTCCGAATTTTGTATAACTTTAATATACACTAGAATTAAAGCGTTTCTCCATTGTTTATTTCAATAAGTAAAAGTGGTTTGAATAAATTTCTCACATAAGTAGTTTTAAAACAATACCAAAAGCTAAACAACTAGAATTCACTACCTTGACAAAACATCCGAAACAATTGTCACTATCCGAAAATAAACTAGTTTTATAAAACTCTATGAATCCCTCGGGTTTTCGTCAGATAATTGACCTACCTGCATATTTTCACCCGTGCTTTCCATTCCTGACAATCTGAAGAGGTTCGAAACAAATTTAACTTCTATATCTCTTGAGTTCTTCGGGGTTACCTATATGCGTAATGGTAAATATGTCTGCCGATGTACCCGGAAGTGGAAAATCGAAAGTGAAAGTAAACGAGACTTACGGGCCCTATTATAACGCCACGTCCGTTGTTTATTTTAATATTTATCCCGTTGAAAGCGTAAGGTTAGTAAAATCGTTGATGAGTAAAAACAATTAATCTATATTCACGTGGTAGTGTTGAATTTTTTATCCTAAGACCACTCCTTTTTTAAGTTGAATCTTACAGGTATATTACTATGGTTATTTACAGAAATGTCCTTAGACCACGTGAGTTATTTATCGTTCCTGCAAACTGAAAGGAAATATTGCAAAGTGTTAACTTATTTTGACTTCCACGTGTTCACTCACTATATACCCTTGGATGGGTATATACTGTCACTTTTAGACAATCTGTAATTTAGGTTAACCATTAAATATTGCAGGTGATAAACATCAACTTAATTTGTGAGAAACAGAAAAATTACTTTCTCCGTTATTGAAAAAAAACAAAAACAAGAAAAAGTCATGCACAAATTTTACATTTTATTTTATTTTACACATCTATAAACAATAAACTGCAAATTCTTAATATTTTCTTTAATATACCCTAATAATAAAGTTGCTCATGTGAAACTCGTGAACAATGGTGTAAGCAAAAATCAAATCTATTTTTTTTATAACGATAGCGTAGATAAAAAAAACGAAATTTATCAGCAAGACTTTCTTGTTTTACATATGTTTACATTTTATTCGTAAAATGATTATGCACTTGTCGTGAATTAGGATGTATAGGATGCCGTGTGGCGGCTGTAAAAGTCGCCCCGTACATACAGTCAGAGATGTAATGTTTCCGATCCTTAAAGATCATTCAGCACGACATTATTGTTGTGCTTTTGGTATTTTTAGTTTTTACTTTTCGGCATTTTCTAGTTGGTGGTTCCAATATTCCTACTTGAATAATGTTGAATCACCCTTAGGATATTTTGCCTGCTTTTTAACTTTTCTTTGACGTCTTATCTGTGATATACAGGCCTCATAACCTCTGATTCCCTTTCAAAATTTCATTTTATTTAGTTCACATAGTTAACATATGTTATTTTGGTTTTGGAGTGATATATGTGGATATATTACCTGTTAAGATTTTATATCACCCGAGCCGTTAGGCGAGGGTGATATTTTATCTTGGCAGGTAATATATCCACATATATCACTCCAAAACCAAAATAATAATTTTATTACCCTTCCCCTGCCGAGTTTAGACGATTTTTTAAAAAATCATTGCTGTTTCAAATGAAACGTCGAAATAAGATTCCCTTTAGGATACCTCTTCGTCACAACATGACGTCACATAAATACATGACGTATTTTTCCCGTACCTTACGAAAGTAAACAAGAGAAAAGGAGTAGTCTATTGAACGCACTTTTTTGTAATTAATATCAAGCTTTCACAAGGTCATATTTGTTTTCGATACTGATGGTAATATGTATCATTACTCTACTTTGGTAAATATTGATCATTTGACAGTTAAAAAAGTGCTTTTAAATCGGAATTTACACCGCGTAAAATCGAACCGTACGCGCATCACATCAGCGCATGTTGTTTACAACGTTGGGTACCAAACGGGGAAATTTAGTGTGTATATTACCCGTCTGGCTCGGTTATATCAATTTCTTTCGGGTGATCAATATCCAATCAAAAAGGCGGAAAAAATCTGGAAGGGTAATAAACTCCTATAGAGACGGAGGTTGTTAAAAGCATAGGAGAACGAACAAGTAGCCATTATACAGATGCCTTCATTTTATTTTTATGAATATTTTTCATATTACGCAAAATTAGCAACCCTTATTGTTATTCTTTCATAACAATCATAACGAATTTAAACATTTCATTTTCCTCTTTTACTCCGCCACAACTTTTGGAGAAGGATTTCTTAGAATCACTTTAGGCCTAGCTAGGTTCACGTCTGTTTCGGTACGTCCAGAATGTCTAATATGTCATACTCTCAGACCATACTGTGTGGCAGCCTTAAAACATGTCCGTTTTTCAATCTCGGCGTTACATTTATTTTTATTAATCGGGGTCACTAATTTCCAACCAGTATCAAGCCGATTCCAGGGTCTCGTTACAGATGTTGTACTTTAGAAAGGCTTACCATTGTCCCTTTAAAACCAAGCAAGGCATTGTTATATTCATTAACCTGCAGGGACCTCTCCGTTCCAAAATGTTTTGCATTTTAACTAAACTCTTTTTGAGTTTTCATATTAAAAATAAAAGCCGTTAAATTGTTCTTATTTGCATACCTTTGCTCAAATCGATTTCGATTTAATCTGGCTATCCTAACACATGGTGTTCTGTATTTTGTTGATCGAAAGACAAAGCCATCGCCACAGTCTAACAATCTGCCATTTTAACAAATTCACAATAGCATATTGATATAAATAAACTGTTTTATATTTATTTATTTCCATTGTAAAATTCTTTAATCAAGATACATTGCTTTATTTGAAAATGTCTTGATAAACGTTAAAATTGAGTTCGTTCAGTGTTTTAGTGGATAATATGTTACATTCATGAAAACTATATGCATAGCAAAGGATGTGTGTATAACAGGCTGTTTTACGACCGTAGTTGCGAAAATCACTTTAGGTACACGATACATGAAATATAACAGAAATAACATTATGATAATGTTAATTGTTACCTTAATCTTAAACCAATTTACTACCTTCTAACAGTTAGAACCGTATAAAGAAGGTCTATGGTCAAGTCAAATACGCTAATAAAGCAATTGGAGGCCAAATTCCTATGCTCACAATTAGACCTGCAATTCCGAGTCGTGTGGACAAGACTAACCTTCTCTCATATTCTTCAACATCATCATCAGCCACCCATGCTTTATGTATTAAAAACCCTTCCATTATTTGTAACAATATACATTTATGTACATGTATATACAATTAAAGGCACATTAGGAATTTGAAGTGAATTAACATTCACAAGGACAAACATGTGATTTATAACGTTACAATAGTAGATTTTAAACATGGAAGATGCTTATTACCTTATTAGGAAAATAGTGTTGAATTTGAAATAATTTGTGATAAAGATAGAAAAATGTAAACAAAGAGGTATTTTGACTGCCATACAAAATACTAGATAGCTGTTGGTGTGCTAAAACGCAAAAGCAGCAGCTGGTTGCTCACGTGTATGACCAATGAGTGGCTGTTTGGAAACTGTCACGGGAGACTTAAAATGAAAAACCTTTTAAATTATGAAAAATACAGCCTTTAAAGGCTTTGTGGACCTTGAATAAAATAACGGGCTTTTATATGACAAAGCGTAACTGTATACATGTTTTGCATTAATGAGTTGCAGTTATTGTAAACAAAAGAAAAATATAAAAGACTTATAATGCACGTAAATAAAATTCACTAAAATATTTGTTCTTGATGTTGATCCACTTACACAACGGAAAACAAGACAATGGAAATTTCCCATCCCTAAATTTTACCACGGAAAACATTCAACGCAGCATTATTCCGAAGAATCACTTCAAAACAAGATTTTATGGGGTTTTAGTTTTTGAAAAAACGATCAACTAGAATGCTAAAAAGACATGTTGTATTTAGCTAAATGTTACCTGCTTGTTGGCTTGCACAATAATTATAGGAAATCTGAGTAAATGAATTGGAAGCAAATGCATACATATAACATAAAATTTAATCGGAAGTCAGTACAAACCTGGCATGTACACAACAGAACATAGCATCTGAGAGGTTAGCAACAATAACATTTGGATATCCAGGCAAGTATCTCTGCCTGTACTATTGTCAAATGAAATCGTTTTTCTTTATGTTTGTCTTTGTTCGGTTTTGGCTGTGTTACCACATAAAACCTTTTATATATCTTTAAGCACAAATAAATCTATGATGTCCATTTATCGAAAATGATCTCTTGATGTCAGTACAGTATCAAAAGAAACGCATTTATATTGACAAGCTCGGACCTTTCTTCTCATATCTAACTTACTTTATGGTTTTATTAAGATAGATAATTTTACAAATGTAAGTGCGCTGCGAGAGAAGAGGGTGGAAAATGTTGACATAAAACATCAACCATCCAACTGCACAGAAAAAATGTAAGACGCATTTAACAACAAATACCATCTAAATGAAAAGAGAACAATGAATAATTGTTGGAGAAATAAATTATATATTTTTATTACATGCTTTTCGGTGGTTTATAGAAATATATCAGTGAAATAAAACTGGTAATTTCACTATTTGAAACAGTGAAATTACCACTTTGATAATTTCACTGTTTTGAATTTAAGCCCCTTACGTTGTTTCAGTGAAATACCAGCGTGCACAGTACTGGGTACCAACTTAATGACGCGACGTCGTAAATGACGTCACGTTGTATTATTATTTGGCGCGCTTTTCATTCAGTATTAGGTTTAATGTCTTTTTAAGGTAGTACACCCCTAATGCACTGTCTCCACTTTGAAGAGTATTCAAATTGGCTAAAATCACTGTAAAGTGTATTGAAACTGAGGGGGCGTGGGTTCAAACCCCAGAAGGGGCAATTTTTTTTCTTTCTTTTTTTTCTTTTTAACATTTTTTATTAATCTCTCAGACCACCTATGGAAGAAAAAAGTGTTTTATTTTAATTATATAATTATTGTAGGTATTTATTTACTAAATAATGCCAAATTTAATAGCAAATATGATACCAGATATTTTCAAAGTTTAATAAAATAAAAACTAAACGGTAAAAGTATTTTATATTTTGCAAGACCAACCACTATACATTAAAGAAAATTTAGGCAAACTTTGAAAATAGCCCCTCATTTTGAAAAATTTAAGGGATATTTTAAATAAGGCTTTTTACAAAGGGAAATGGTCAAATTAGTGTTAAAAGTGGGTGGGGTAGGGTTACATTTTTATACATATTAAAAACATTTCGTTTAAAAACAATCATTTTGCTTGTTTAATTTGTTACCTAAATGTCATTATTTATTTCTTAACAATGAGCAAAAAGGAAAACATTTTTCATAAATGATGATATTAT